CAATCTTTAGTGGCGCCACGTCCTATCCAATTATCTCATTTAGATTGTGACATTCATTGAAGAACCCATTTCCACACTCTTTCTTTATAAATATAATGCATATATTCTATAAATAATATTTGAAATTGGCGTAAATATGAAAATATTTTGTACTTGAGGATGATTTCGTGTTATATTTGGGTTTGATGAAGTGTATTAAATATCATGAATCTCTATCCAGAATATTAATTTTTTTTGGGGGGGCCAACATCGAGAATATTAAAACTGCACTCGATTTAATGATTAATTTAATTAATTTCGTTCGATGAAAAGGTTGCAAATTAGGTTTGGATTGGTTTAAATTTAATGATCAATTTAATTAATTTTGTTTTGTTGGTTCACTCTTTGTTTTTTAAGGTGGTTGAAAATTGTCAAACCAAATAATGAACCATAGATGGAGTACTCGTCACTGACCATCTAGCGTATAATATTACGGACAGGTTTAAAATTAAGTATTCTTACGGTGCTTATTATAATCATCTAATAACAAGTTAATATAAATTAATAAAGTTAGTTAAAATTAATTACTTTTTGTAAGATACTAGAATTATTCCGAGTAAAGTCATGAATTAAAGAAATTTTGCTCATTAGTCTGGAAGTTTTGCAATTAGTTAAAAATATTGGGTAGAAAAAATTAATAATATTTTAGGCAAAATTTGCTCCTCTAATCTTAAATATATTGTAGTACAAATTATACTACAAAATTGATTTTATATTTAGAAATGAAAGAATATTATATTACGAAGCATAGGAGAGATTCTTGTAATAAGGATGGAGAAAATATTTTCACTTACTTTCAATGATTGGTTCGAGCCGTCTAATTCTTGCACCTTTTAAATAAAATCTTATGTTCAAATTTTGTACATAAACAAAAATGTAGTTGAAAATTTTTTGTATTAATATGATTGGGAGGAAATAGATCTAAATTAGCTGAGGGCCCACTACAATAAATTGATTGATTGATATATGTTGCTAACAAAAATCTGGTCATGGTTATTATTTAAAAAAATATTACTTTACTAAACCCACAGGAAGATGGCTCCCACTAGTATACAATATAGTACTACCTCCGGTTCTTAATATAAGATTCTGTTTGATTTTTATTTTAATCCTAAATATAAGACCCTAGTCTATTTTGTCTCTTATATTTATATATTTTTTCTAAAGTAGCCATTCTAAAAATGATAGTATAGTCAATACACTTGATTAACAAGGATATTTTAGGAAAGATAACACCTATTTAGGACAAATAACTAACTCAACTTACTTCCTCAATCTCCTCAAATTAGTTAACTGGCTTTTATAATTAGGACCGGAAGCAATATACTCCCTCCGTTCCTTATTATAAGAGATAAATAACCAAATTATGTTGATCAAAAAAGCAGTTAAAATTAGTTAAGAACAATCAATGTGTAAAAAGTATAATTTTTTTCTCAAAAATGCCCTCATTAATAAGGAGAGAGAGCATGAGAGAGAACAATTAAATTATTAAAAGAAAGAGAAGTGGGAGGGAGAGAGAGTGTGAATTAGAGATAAAATAAATATGGGTAAAATAAGAAATCAACACAAAAAAGTAGAGACAACTTTTAAGTGTCTCTTATATATAGGAACATGTCATAAACATTAAATGTCTCTTATAATAAGGAATGGATGGAGTATGATTAATTGAATTGAATTAGAGACAAAATTTGAGGCCAAAGAATGCAGTTGGGAGAGGAGTAATTATCAATTTTAGGTCAAAGGAGAAGGTTGTGGGTGGGGGCAATAATGAGGGGCCTTTGATTCTTGGGAAAATAACAGATTTTGTGTGAGAAAACTCCGGCTGTTTGTGCTCACTTTTCCTCCATTAAATGTTAAAAAATACACAATGACTTTGAATTTGAAAATAACATTGGAATTGGACTTACTCATCCAAAACTACCCCTGCCCCATTAACTACTAATTTTACATGCATTAAAAAATACTACTGTTAAAACAATATTAAATAATAAACTATAGGAGCCACGGTAGGGCCTCAATCTTATGACATTAAAAAGGTGTTTGGATGATATGAGAAGTGTTTCTAAAAAGTATTTTTTCACAAATCAAGATAAACTTCTCTATATATTTATTTCGTATATCGTAAAATCACTTCTGAAGCTATGGTTTGATTTCCATTCAAACACCTCCTAAAACTAAACCCAAATAATTTGAATAAGGAGATAAAAAAACAAGGTTTTTTTATAAAATTAAAGAATAACAATTGGTTATTCTTTCCATTTAGGCCAACAAAATTATCCTCTTTTTTATTAGAGACAGCTGTCAGACACTACATTTGAGCAGCTCTCCTAATAAGAATTCAAACATTAGCTTACCATATTATAAGGGACTAAATCTTTCTACTAGACTTATCCCGTTGATTAAAATTACCCTCTCTTATTTCTTATAAAAAAAGGTCAGGAGAGAGTCCAAGATAACTAATAACATCACGAGCAACGTAAAAAAATAAATAAATTATACTAAGATCATAAGTAATAAAATGTGTTTATTAAACATTGCAATGGCATTTTCATACCCATTATGTTGATGATGCATGGATTTCAAGGACATTATCATGACTATATTTTAGTACTTTAATGTCTATCTAGTTTTTCTTTTCCTCATACAATGCACGAGATAAATAACAATCGGATGAAATTTTTTCTGATGAAGGGTATATTAGTTAGAATAGGAATTTTAGGTGAAAAATTCTTAAGATGCAATCAAATAGTAAAACATAGAGATAGAGTGGAGAAATAAAAATAAAAATAATAGTGAAAAAATGAAGAGAGGCAAGGAGTTTAATGCAAACCTTATTTTTTTTGTATGTATCTTATAAATAATGCTCCCTCTCATTTTTAATATAAAAGCTAAATAACTAAGCTGTAAATATTAAAATAATTAGTCACATTAATTATTTATAACAAGTGTCTATTGAACTATTGGTTTTTCTAGAATATCTTTTTATTATATACATTATAACTATACCTTGATGAAAACTCTCTATGTACAGGCGAAAGAAATAATTTAAAAAAATATAAATGTAAGAGGTAAAATAAATTAATGTCCTTTAGAATAAAAATAAATTTTTATGTCTACTCCCTATATTTAAAATTGGAGCTAATATTTTATAAAAAGAAATTGCGTTAATCGTATGGTACAACTTATAAGATTTTATAAATATAATATATAAGCAGAGGTTTTAATTATCTGAGTTATTCTCTATATATAACGTTGAATTGATTTTATTATGGCAAATATTAAATAATCTAGATCTTTCTTTTATAGGTTTGCAAAGATCATGTGACACCTGTGGATAAGTGTTTTTTTTTTTTAATTGATCCTTACATTTTTTGTTTTCATGTGGAACTTTTCATCACGCACTCAAGTGCTGCTTGATATGGACACAAACAAAATACATAACTTGCGGATGCTGTTGTCCTTTCTCTCAATTTTCGCTTTTTATTTTATAAATCCCTTTCATCACACATCAACTTTATATAATATACTCCCAAAGTTAACTAGTTAAACCTGATTTCATTGTTCTGAGGAGTACTTCTTTTGTAATTTAAGTATCCTTCTATTAACAGCAGGATCGATCTTTTTTTAATGTATAGAAGGCAAATAACAAATTCTTTTTTAATTAAATTTACTTTATATAGATATAAAAATTTAGAATTGAACTCTTAAACTGCTTATTTATATGATGATTTTTTTTTATGTTGACATTTATCAGGATTACAATTGTTGGATTAAGTAGAGGCTATTGCAGGAAAAGAAACCAAAATTTGATGCCAATTATTATTTTCGAAGGCAAATAGGGTGGAGGTCAATCATGAAATAATGTCTCTGTTGGAATTTTTTTAATTGTAATATTGCCTTTTCAATTATTTATTTTTTGTCCCCACATCCGGATAAATGCAAATATTCTTTTATCTACTATTTTAAAAGAAATTGTTGGCAATTAAAAGATAATCTAGATGTACTTTGATTTATAATAGTATTTGAGTAAGAAAATACTATCTCCATTTTAACTATAAAACCTCATTTATAAATTGTAAACAAGATCTTATTGATTGAAATTAATAAAAAATAGCACGTGCTCCGGTACGGGGAAAAGGTCAAATCTGAAGTCTGAACACAAGTATTTTATTTATAAGAGTTAGTTGACTAATTTGAAGAGATTAAGAAAAGAAGTTAAATTAGTTATTTGTAATAAATATGTGTTATCTTTCCTAAAATATCTTTACTAATTAAGTGTATTGACCAGAACTACTATTGTTAAAAGGACTATATTGGAAAAAAATATATAAATATAAGAGACAAAGTGGATTATGGTGTTATATTTAGGACTAAAATAAAAGTAAAACAAAATCTTGTATTAAGGATATGAAATATCAACTTTCATTAATTCAAGCATGCCCATCAAAATCAAATTGTATGATGAAGACCATCAAATTTTGATTTTTATTCACTTGATTTCATTAATTCAAGTTACTACCCCACATGCATCCCTGATATATTGGCCAAAAATTCAAGTTACCACATTTGCTAAGGAATTAACCAGAATTTTCTTAACTTAAAAAATAATTTTCCTAATAATAGTAATAAGAAGAAACAACAGAATTTAGTAAAAAGGGTTGAAATTTTCTTATTATAAAATTTATTGTCCAAGTGTGCCTAAAATTGCTTAAACATAACTAGTTGCAACAACATATATAATTAAACAAAAGTTATAGGGGTACTCACCGCTCAATAACGCGTGTCCTTAGCTACATTCAAACAGTGAATTTTGAGGAATTGCTTAGCAATTTTCCCAAAATTTAAAAGAGCAAATAATTTAAAAATGGTGGATATTCTAGTCTTAATATATATTCGATCAAGTGATTTTATCAGGTCATCTCGTGCTTATTCCATCCATTAACTTCCTAAAAGGTAAAAAATTTTGGGAATTTAAATTCGAATTAGAGTAAATATGCCAATTTTTACATGCCAAAGACAAGAGGAAGACACATCTCAACAACATAACAATAATAATATTTCCATGTCCAACGTTGTATACAAGAAATAGTAAAATCTAGTAGTATAGTACGTATTAGATAACTAACCCAAAGAAACATAAACTGTTTTAACACTCCGAGTTAATTAACCTTGGGAAACCTTGTTGACCCCTTTAGGATCTTGACCCATTGATACTCCGGAGGGTCTTATATCAGCGCCCGCCGTCGGAACAACCCCTTGGTACTGTGGCGGATGCATCACTCCTCCCGGCGCAGTGTAGTAAAACTGTCTCCCTGCTGAGTTATCGTACGCCACCTGTGCATACGCTGCTGAGTTATCCGGCATCCCAGTCGGGCGAACCACGTTGAATCCATCTGTATAAGCGGCAGGTTTAACAGGCTGAGCCGGTGCCAAGGTTGCCGGAGCCGCTGATGAAAATGGCGCTCGGGGCGCCGCCGACGCGCTGTAAACTGGCTGCTCACGGTAGGCATCAGAAACCATTCGCTGCACTGCGTAGTAACCTTGAGTGGCTGGTGCCGCCTGAGGACGTACCACCGGCGGCGCGTGATAGAAAGTTCCGGGCTGCGGGATAACATAAACCGGCTGGTCTGCTCCTCCAGATCCGTTTGACGCCGTCATAGGCTGAAAACCCTCGCTATGAACTTGCTTTTCCTGCCAATAACCTCCAGCTGGTGGTGCTGTGGCCGGCAAATTCGATGGAGGAGCCTTGTCGGCAAATTTCTGAACATAATAATCTCCAGCTGCATATCCTCCCGCTGAATTGTCCTCGCTTTTTCTCCTATACACAGGTTGATCATGCTCCCCAATTTGCATCCTCTGCAACTGCCGTTGAACTTCAATCGGGTTCACAGAAGGATCCGAACCCATGACCCGTTCAGGGCCACCTCTTGTTTGGTACTCCAGAGGTGGCACCACAGGTCCAGGAACAGGGTCATGAAACTTAACAGCCACAGGCGGTGGCTGCGCCGGCGGTACTCCTTTCTCCAGACCGAAGAGGAAATCGACGTTGCTGCCAGGAACAGGAGCCGGCTTAACCGTATCGGGTGGAGTCGGACCCGGAGCCGTGTTGAGAGCCTCGACGAAGCGGTCCTGATCGGAGGCAAAACTCGATGTCTGGCTAGTATTAGCAGGGAAGAGGAAGAGCCTCATGCGAGCGGGCTTAGCGGAAGCACGGTACAGCCGATCATACTCGTGCATCATGTGCTCTAGATCGTCGTCGTTGGTGACGGAAATCAGGGCGTCGAGTTCTTCTCCGGGGAGCTGGTACTTAAAGGTGACATCAACGCCGTCGCAGAGGGCAGAGAGCTTGGAAATCATGGTGGAGAACTTGATGTTGAGGTCAACGGCGAGGATCTTGGTCTCGCCGCCGACGTAGGAGAGCTGATTGTCGTGGCTACGAGGCTGGATCTTCCCGCCATAGCTGCACATAAATTTAGCTTTGTAATTGGGCGGCGGCTGCTGATCGTCCCACGGCGGAGGGTTCTCGAATTCAACCTCTCTGGAGCGAGGAGACGACTCGCCTGAGTCAGGGTACGAAGGGTACGCGTAATTCTCCATAGTTATCTGTGCAGATTTGCGGGGCTTTTGGACCAAATTAGCGAGAAAGAGAGAGAGGCCATTCCTCTCGTTGAGTGATGGAGTTATAAGCTTGTCGTGGAAGAGGACACTGCGGGAGATTTTTTTTATTTATTTATTCAAGGTAAACTTTTTTTTCTTATTGCTTTTTTTTTTTAAATATATGTACGTATTCAAGGCACTATATACCTCTTCTAATTAAAGTATTATAAATTTTTTAATATAGGATAAGAAATATTACATCCACATCATTATAATTTAATTATTTTTCTTGATTTTTAAAATTATAGTTATAAGTCCTGGTAAAAAAAATATTGTTATAAATTCGTTTTTTGACATATTATTATTGGTTTATATTTGGTTATTTGATACTAGGAGTTAAAGATATTTAACACAAACTGAATGGTGGCCAGCCGAAAAGCTGCATTTTAAAGTATACAGGAACATATATTAAAATAAAAATAAACAGTGTCATTATAATCATATTGTAATTTTAGCAGATAGCCTTCTATTTTAAAATAAAAATATAGTATTCTGTCTTTATAATTTATCAAGTATTTCATTTAATCTATATAATTTACAATTATATATACCCTTGAGTTTTTTTTTTTTAATTTTCACATGACATTTGTTATGGTCTGTGTGTAATTATATTATTCATATTTTTATCCCATTTATTAGCTTATTATATATGTGTGTGTATATAGCATTAGAAATAGCATTATATTTTTTAAATAACAATTAATTACACTAGTGGAATTTAGTGAAATATTGACTCATTTTCAGTAAGAATGACTGAATTAAAAAAAAAAAAAGGTGGAAACTATCAGGATTTACGTATAAGCTTGAAATTGTAAAAGATTGAACTAAAAGCATATTTTTAAAAATTAAGGGGAAAAAACTATGTTTTAGAGATTACTTCTGAAATGGGGCAATAATTTTTTATATTATTTTAGAAACATTATCAATTAAGATATTTTGGGTTGTAGAAGAGCTTGAAGAAACTACACGCTTGCAGTGGGGGTAAATGCGAATTGCAACTTGCAGAAGGTGGGGGTAATGGGTGCTGTTGGGGGACACGTGGCCCAAACAAGAGCGAGAGAGTTGGGAAGCAAACTGATACTGCGGGTGAGAAAAGCACTGCCCGACGGCTAATAGAATAGCTGGACTTTTTTGGTTAGCGGGCGTGAGGAAGGGACCCATTGGTATTGATTGAGAGAGTGAGGGTCCGTGAGAAGGGATAAGAGAGTGACGCGCTTGTGTACGAAAAGGAGGAAGAGTGTGATGAATGTTGACTAAGATCGAGCTACATGAAAAAAAAAAATGAATTGCCAAGTCTAAACCACTATGATTTACCATGGTAAAATCTATCAATATATACTCTTATAAAAATTTTAAGGTTAAATCCACTGCGAATAATCATCGAGGCCTTATAGGCCAACAATACTAACTTAATATAAACTGAAATATCAAAGAAAAAATAAAAAATACTAAATACTAAATTTTCAATTAAGCTTGGTAACAATATTTTATCCGGTGTTAATAATACTAAATTTGTATATAACAATAAATTTTGGTTAAAATTTCTTATCTAACATTTAGTGATTTTCAACTTTTTTTTTTCATTTTCCTAATAACAATATTTTATTTGATGTTGACAACATTAAATTTTTAAATAACAACGAATTTTAGTTAAAATTTCTTATCTAGCATTTAGTAACTTTTTTTTTTGGGTTATTTTTCTAATATCAAATTGATAAAATAATACTATGATTATAATCTTTTTTGGTCATTTTTCCAATATCAAATTGATAAACTGATACTATGATTATAATCTAGAATCCCTACAAATGATTCTGTTTGGGGGTGTTTGGGAAGTGCTTAAAGAACTTTAAAAAAAAATATTTTTACATATTTATCTCAATCCTTATAAAATTACTTCTAAATTTTCATCCAATCACTTCTGATCTTTCTCATCAACTTGTCGAGAACGAGGCATTGGCTCGCTGAATTGTAATTGGACTGGCTTCAATTAAACTAATACATAAAAAAAAATAGCTTAAGCAATATTTATTCATGTATAACTAATTAGCACAAGCTTCCATAATTAATTAGAATTGCCAATAAGCCATCAAATATGTAAGAGGGTTTTTTTTGGGTATAAGATACAATTTAAATTAGTCTGATTATTTAATGTATTTTTCATTTTTTTCTCCCACTTATGCTCTCCATAAATAAAGTTGTTTTAGAAAAGTAAATTGTATTTTTTAACATATGTGTTATATTTAACTAATTTTAATTAACCTTTTGAGTTGCATAATTGAGCTATTTGATGCTTATATTTTGAATCAAAGGAAGTATTAAGTACTTTCTTAAAATTAAGAAAATCACTTCAAGTTAATATATGTTAAAATTTTTATAATTTTTCAAAACAATCATTGATCAAATTAAAGACATTCTTTAAGCTACAAGTGCAAGAAATGAGAACATTTTTGAAAAATGTGTCACTAAATAATTCAGTAAGAGATCGTTTTTTTTTTGCTAAAGCATAAGTATCTTTCTATTGAAAACAATCATATTCGAGACATTGTCTGGCACCTCTCTCAGTGAAGATTCGAACCTTGATTCGTCACATTATGAGAGACTAACCACTTCTACTAGACTTAACTTCTGTTGGTAGTAAGAGATCTTATATAATCATTAATAAACAAAAGGTATAGTACATTGGTGGAAATTGAATGGATGCAGATGTGCTTAGCCCAAGGACAATGGGATGTGATCCATAGGGACGCGAACGGGTTCAACAACTGGGAGTTTTTTTTTTTAAAAAAAAAACCAAAAGTAATGCTATTCAACACACGTTGAGATGCTATTTCTCTATTTCTCTCTCTCTGTAGAAATTTGAATATTGATTCAACGTATTAGGTGAGGCTAATCTTTTTTACTAGGTTTAGTCCTGATTGGTAACTGGTACTAGATATGCGTGGGGGAAGGGAGCTCGCAATTTTCCAGATTCCTCGTATTAAAGAATTGTGATAGTGCTGACCAAACAAACAAATGTGACAGCGAACCTACAATTGGAGTGCCGCGTTTCTGATAAATTTGATGTAACATGAACCATGTGCGGTGACTATATCCCTCTCCGTTGGATCAATCCAACGGCTCCCATTGAATTGGTCTTTTATGGGTTGTGGCTGGGCTCTCAAATCATTTTAAGGGGTGTTTGGATGGCACCCAATTATAATTTTAAAAATAATTTTATAGTAAGAGAGTTTATCTCAATTTATTAAAAAAATACTTTTTAAATACACTCTTTTCAAATGCCAAACACCCTTTTATTCAGGCATGCCATGAGAGCATAAGATACTGGACCCGACCCACTTCTATTACGAAACAAACAAGTGTAGAGTCACACAAGCCTCATCCTAATTTTGAGGAACAAGATGAATAGTAAATAAATGGGCAATAAATTTATGACAACTGAGTTTACTTTTATTTAGTTTATTAATAATTATGCTAAGCATGTCTAATAAAAATAATTATTTCTTTAAAATTAATGATTCGTCTATAATTTGGTAGGTTATAAGTATCTTTATACGTATTTTTTGAACCTTAAAACATTTAAATTTTTTCGTATCTAAAAAAAAAGATTCATTATATCGGCAGCAGAAGGTACAGGATGATTTTGTTGTCTTTACATATCTCAAGATGGACTAGGGAGGCAAGTGGCATGTGTGTTTTCACATTAAATTCAAGAGATTTTTTTTTGGCCAATAAAATTCAAGAGATTAGGGGGCTTAGACGATTGGTGGGCATTATTCAATCGTACAACTATGATAATGTTGTGGGGTTTACAACTCTAACCTCACAGTAAATGTGAGACATTGCTTCATCGGATGGGAAAGCTGGGGATCTTCCCAAACAGATCATTCATACGCACAATACTCCGGTTTCTGCCATAAGACGCCTTTATTTATTTTTTTCCTGCCAAGTTATAAGACGCCCTTTAGAATGAACGTGTGACCTTGATAACAAGTCAATAGTAAAATATTAGTTACTTGATAGTTGGGATAGTAAACAGTCATATTCTTATAAAAAGAAAAACAGAAGTTTAAATATTAGAAAACTAACTTATTATGAGGGTTTTAACCTTAACACTTCTCGCTTGATAAAAATTAGTGTTAAGTCTAAAGAGGTTTGACGACACTCTGAGTTACACCAAAAAAAAGAAGTAAAGTATTAATTATATTTTTCTGATATTATTTGTATTTAAAATTTTTCTAGTTTTTATTTTTTTTGCGCTTCCTAATATGTGATTTATGATTTTAAATATCAGCAAATTTGTTTATTTTTTATTTTGAAACATTGTTTAAATGACAAAAAGATCTTTTTAACTTTTAAATAAATTTAAGGGCAAACGAATCTCATAAAAAGAAGCTTGAAATTACTAAATCTGAAATTATGTTTTGTTTTCACTCTTTAATAGGTTTTTTTATAACACTTGACTTGTGAATAACAACACATTTTTGTGGAAATTTTTTATTTTAAAATTTAGGAATTTTAATTTTTTTTGTGAGATTCTCCCTAAATTTAATAGCTTAACGACAATTTTTTTTTCTATTATATAATAATGACTAAATGTAGTATTGAATTTAAAGAGATAAATACGTTTTGCTGGGAAAAAGAGAGAGAGAGATATAAACAAGAGAGACATAAATACTCTTTCCTTGTGCACATAAATGCAGAGTCTAGGAAGTGCACAAAAATATAAATCTCATTGCTTTTGTGAGATTTTTTATCTGCAGGCACCCAAAATTGTAAGCATTTTTGCAAGCAATCCCATCAAAAGTATGAAACCTACCTCGGTAAATTTTAGAGACTTAATTCATATAGAACTTTTCTTGAGCAAAGACTAAGATGATAATTTGTGTCATAGAAAAATAACTGACGACTAAAATATACCTCGTACATTTTATATTTTTATATATTATCTTTGTCTCTCATTTGAAATTCATTACATAATAATTTAAAACTTTTCAAATATTATACCAAT